TGATATAGTCCAATGGGGAAGTGGGGAAAAAACTCTCTCTGCTCTAACTCCTCCAACCAAGTTGTGAAGCTGGAAATACGGCAGTGGGTAGGCACTGCCTTAGAGCCAATGCTCTGTGCACGTCTGCTCCTCTTTTCCACTGCACCAGTTTTCACAGGCTGCCCTGCCTGTGCCTAGCAACCCTAACTCCCATGCCATCATCAACAGAGAGACAGCACAACAAATGCCAGATGCTGGCAGTGGTATGAAGACATCACCTTTCCCAGAGCTCAGGAGCAGCCCTTTCCCTGAGAGCACATCAGAGCGCAGCCCTGGTACTTTGGGATTGAGCTTGTCACATCCTCTGTGAAGAATCCAGGAGAAACAGCCCAGCCAGGCTGCTGATTCAGAGCCAGCAGCTGATTTGTAGATTATGGTGTCCTGCGTGGCAGTGGATGGGGACAGAGGGAGAGCATTCACCCTTTGACACAGCAGCATTTGGTCCAGAAGAGGTTGCAAGTGCCCTAGGAATCCCCTTCACTCTGACTGCTCTGGGGGCTGCTGGATGCAAGAGATCTCTTCTGCCTGGGGAGATCACTGTGGTGTGTCCCTGGCTCTTGTGACACTGAACAGGGCCCCTGTGAAGACTGCGGTTTCTGTAGATGGTAAGGGGGCGGAAACCCCAAACCTGCCCTAATTTTTCAGTGTATGAGAGGGACCAACCTCCTTTCTGCTGCTTGCCCCAGACAGAGCAGGCAGATGGACAGACAGGGAGGTAAGAGACACAGAAGAGCAAAGGCAGAGGAGCGCAGAGCAGGGTCACTTCCCCCTGGTATTCTTTCTGGAGGCTCTTGTGAGTTCTCCATTCCCCAGAGCTCTTTTTCCATGTCCCGCTGGGCTGTGCCCACAGACAGGACCTGTATGGGGCACGTTCTGCCTGCCAGCATCCTGCTCATATTGGTGTGGGCACCCAGAGCCCCTTCTCCACGGCCCCTCTGAGCTGAGGTGTGGGGATGGCATGTGCAAACCCCTGATTGTGAGCACAGGCAATGTGTAGAGGGAGCACAGGGGGCCATGTACCTCCCTCCCCCTCCAAGATTGGCTCTTGCAGTGGGGGAGTGGGGGTGCCAAGGGAAGTGCAGTGGTACTTGCTGCCCGTGCCTCAGGGGGTGGCGATCAGCTGCTGGGGGACCCCCTCTCCAGTTGGCGATCGGCCGCTGATGCCCTCAGGGACTCAGGAGGCACAAGTCGCCCATGATTATGAGAGCGCAGGAGGGAATCCTTAGCCATGGCACATCACGCAGACACATCCCCTTGCACCAACTGAGTGTAGCAAAGCACTGAACGAGGTGAGCTCTCATCTTACTCTGAATAAAAGCTCTGCCTCAAACACAGCTGACTCCATCCTCAGCTTCTCCCTCTTGCTAGACCATGCTGCAAAAGTGTAACCCTGCATGAGTCATGTGATGAACATCTTTCACTATTGGGACATGAACTAGTCTCTGGTGCCTAGACATGAACAGTGAGGCTGCTCTGATGCACTGTAATCCCAGCATGTTGGAGCAGACCAGATTAAATGAGTGTCCTGGAGCATGGTAATTACCACGCTCCAGTAGCCTCCAGCATCTTGGGTATCAGCGTCCTGACACTTCAAAATGGAGTGAGGGCGCTTTAAATAAAGTTCTTTCTGTGAACTTTAGTTAAAGTGCCCCTGCTACCATCTGGAAGAATGGGGATGCTGGGCCAAGAGATACTATGGGTGCTTTAAGTAGAGTGGCTCTCAGAACCACTGTAATTAAATCCACCCCCTCCCCACCCGTTCCCAGACCACGTGTATAAGCGCCCCGTACCACTGCACTTCAGGTGGTTACAGAATGAATGGGAACGTATTGTGGTTTTGAGAAGTCCCACAGGAACAATATGTCCATGTGCCCTGCACAGAGGCTAGACAGTGACCCTTGATATCTGAATTCACGGGGCTGGGCTGGACCGATGCGGAAATGGTCTTGTCCTTCTCTCCTCAGACGACTCCTCTTCTTCAGCCTCCCTGTGTCTGTGCAGCTCTTCTGCATCCTCCCCTTCCCTTTGCTAAAATTGTCATCTCTTGAGTGCACTCTGCATCCCCTGAGCAGGGGGCAGATTTGCATGAAGGGTCTGTTCTCCCGCTCCAAGTGTTTTAAGAGACAGTTGGATGGTCCCAACCAGAGACCTGTTTGCCTCAGGAAGCTGAGCTGCTCTGGATTCCCACCATGGCCTTGGGCCCTCTCGTCCTCATGCTTGTCCTGTTCTGCTTTGGTAAGGGAGGGGAGGGCTTCCTCCAAAGGAGTCCTGAGAGATGGGGCTGATGTCTCCCTCTGCTTTGGGATCTTGCTCTCCGAGTTGGTAAGAAGCGTTTCTCGGGGGATGGAGCAGGTTGTGACGGGGTGTCTGCATTGCTCTTTGCAGGACAGAGCTCAGAGTGTGCTGACACAAGCACATCCCACATTGTCGGTGGCGCTGGGGCAAACGGCATCTCTGCGGTGCGCACTGCAGGGCGTGGAGTTCATTAGCACCACGGACCGTGCCTGGTATCAATAGCACCTGGGAGCAGTCCTGGGCTACTGATCTAAAAGTCCAAGAGCAGAGCCTCAGGTGTCCCTGAACTCTTCTCTGCTGATCTCTCTGGTAATCTTGCATGGTTGACCACCCCTGGGGTCCAGGTTGAAGATGAGGTGGATTATTACTGTGCTGTGTGGCACTCTGCCTCTCCTCACAGGGACCCAGTCATATGGGGAACTGCAACAACAACTTTCTCTTCCCTCCCAGCCTTAGCCTCACTAGCAACTGCTCTGGTGTGGAGTTGGGTCTCTGGAGCAAGACAGGTCTCCTTTTTTTCCCTCCAAGGGAGTCCAGGAGAATGGACCTTTCTTGCACCCGATGGGTTCCAGGGCACCTGCAGGCCTGGCCTAGGCACAGTGTATTTCCTGAATTAGTTCAGAAACAATTTGCATGTAATCACAACCCGTTTGACTGTACATTGGGGAAGGACCTGGTCTCTCAGCCCTGGTGTATGAAGTCTGACATGCTTCCAGAGATGCATGTTACAGCCAAAATTACACAAAGACATACACGTACATGCACATGTGCACACACACTCATCCATTTGCATGTGCACACACAGATGCACACCATGGAGTGCCCTGCCAGGATAGTCCAGCATGTAAGGGAGGACCCAGTAAGCCATCACCAGTGCCCAGCTACAGAACTCAGCTAAAGCCATGTCATTACATGTTTCCTGGGAAGGAGGGGCTTTGAACAGCAGTGAATTGGTTACATGCGGCTTGCCCCGACTGCTTCCTTTTTTTGACCCTTGATTCTAAAGCAAGGCATGTTATCTCTGACTATGCTTGCCTAGTTCCCCCACTGTTTTTCCATGGTGATGTGTCAGGAGAGGGTACTCGTGACCACTAGGTGTCAATCTTGCTGCACAGATGAGCCAAAAGTTAACTCTGAGTGACAGGCGGTCTCCAGGGAAATATGTAAACAAGCATTTCCGCTTCTGTATGGTCTAACTGTCCATTCACTCCATGTCACGGTTTTTGAATTGGCCCTTTCTGAGAAAAACATCCTTTTCCTGCCATCTTTGGGTGCTGGGGTTCTCAGCCCAAAGACACGAGGGGGAGGGAGGTCTTGGGACTGAGGCCCCAGTGCACTACTCAAGCAGTTGGCACTCAGTCCTTTCGTCTGTGAATTGGGGATGTCAGCCAGGCTCCTTCCTGCCCTTCCTCTGTCTTGTCCGCTTGGATCGGAAAGTTTACCCGGTGTTGAGGGGCCCTGGCTCCATGTGGAGCCTTCTGGGGATCACTGCGATACGAAGAGATCTTTGCCAGCCGTTCTTCAGGGAACCCAGAGGTCTTTGGGGCTCGCACCAGAACCTGCGGAGTCCTGCTTTTTCCACCAGCAGAAAAGTCAGGGGAGAATGGAGAGACTAGTCAGAAGAATAACAAGGCAAATGGCAGTGTCTCCGGTCCTCCCCATCAAGGCTTTCAAAGTCTGACCCAGTCTTCCTGGCTGCTCTTGATTTTCCTGTGTATCCCTGTCAGCCCAGTCCTCTGACTGTACCAGCCTCCCTGCAGGGATCTAGAGAGCAGCTGCCTGCTTTTCAGGATGCTTTCATGAGTTATTTCTACTCCTGGGCCCAGGGACGTTGGCTGCATGCAGATGTTCAGGGGAAAAGGCAGAAGGGGAGACCTGAAATACATACATGAAATCATGTTTTTCACAAAACAAGTGTGTACAATTCTGCATATGTTCAAAAGAGTCCCTTGCCTCAGCCTTCCTCCTCTCCAGTGCTCCTCGAGGCTGGGGCCATCTTCTTGAATGCCCCAGTTCAGCACCAGGCATTTTCAGGCCTTTACCTGTGTCAGGCACTGAGCCCATGGCAATGCCATGAACATGAGACACTGGGGACAGTGTTAAGAAGAAGTGTCCTGAGCATGAAACCCCAAACCCTGTTAAAGTCACTTGGATAATGGAAAATAAGTTTCTCTCGAAAAATGGTCTACGTGGCACAATGTAGGTCAGGCTCAAGTGCTAGGAGTTAGGACACAAAAATAATCTTGGTACCCCACCTGTGAAGCAGTGTGCTTTAGGCAGGGCAGAGGAGAGGCCAGAGTTAATCATGGAGGCGGAGAAACTACAATTCAGAATATCTTCCTCAGTAAAGAGGTAACAGGGTGAGGGGACTTGCACATTGTTTATCTACCCCAAATGCCTCTTTTCCCATGACAATTAAGCAGGAAGAACGGGAAGTTTAACCACAGGTATGAGCGGGAATCTGCAGGAAAGCACTTCCCCTCCCAGCGCTGTGCACTGGGCTCTGCTCTGCCAGCTCTCGGAGCGGTGGAAGCAGAAGGAAGAAACACACGTCCCGACAGGGCGACGCACCAGCAGCAGCCAGTGACAGGGGGCAGATTTGCATGAAGGGGCTGGTCTCAGCTCTGGGGCTTTATGAGAGACTCGGAGGGCCCCAGCCTGGGAGACTTTTGCCTCAGGAAGCTGAACTGGTCAGGATTTGTCACCATGGCCTGTGCCCTGCTCCTCCTGGTGCTGATGACGTGCTGCTCAGGTCAGCAGAAGGGTTCAGGCTGTGCCTGTCATGGGGGCAGTTGCTTTCCTGTCAGCGCGGTCAATGAATGGTTAATAATGGGTTTGTGATGTTGATTTCAGGGGTCTGGTCACAGCCTGTGGTGACTCAGGAGCCTGTGATGTCCGTGTCCCCAGGAGGGACTGTCACTCTGTCCTGCAGCCTGAGCACCGGAGCCATCACCACCAGCAACTATCCTGCCTGGCTCCAGCAGAAACCTGGCTCTCCCCCTCGGCAGCTTATATACAGCACCAGCAGCAGGCCCTCGGGGATCCCCACCCGGTTCTCTGGGTCCATATCTGGTCAGAAGGCCGTCTTGACCATCACGGGGGTCGAAGCCGAGGATGAGGCTGACTACTACTGTGCTGTGTATACTGGCAGCAACCCACTGCACAGTGATAGAGCCCGATGGGGAACTGAGACATAAACCTTTCTGTTCAGCGGTGCCCTGCTGGGATCTCCCTGCCCAGGCTGCAGAGTTTGGTTGTGCTGACTGCATTTTCATTGAACCCCCCAGACCTTCCCTAGCCGCTGTCCCCACTGCCCATGTCCTGCTGGTCAGCTCAGACAGCCCATGTAGACCAGATGAATGTTTTAAATGGTCTCTCAATTTACTTTGGCAATCACAGTACTTCATGGCCTCCATGAAGCAAGCCCTGATGTTGAGGGCAGAATGCTTCTAACCCTGTGGACTCCCATTTAATCCTGCATTTATTGTGTGACTCCTGTGTGGTCACCTAACAGCACAAGCACCGTGTGGCAACCCACTCTGTCCTGGAAGGACCTAAAGATCCCCAGGGCGCCACAGCTTGATGGGGAACTGAGACATAAAGCTCCTTCCTGTTTTTTTCTGCCCCTGTGCCCTGCGGGGAAGTAGCTGCTCAGGCCACAGTGTCTGGTTTCTACCTGCCGTGTGGATACCTTGAAGAGTGTTGGGTAAAAGTTGTTACATTTTCCCAGGGATTGCAGGAGGGAACGGCAGACCTGTAGGCAAAGTACTGCTCTCTGAATGAACACACTTGATCATTCTGTAACGGGCGGGCAATTATTTTGGATGGAGGGCCGCGTACCGAGTTTTGGCAAGCAGTCGAGGGCCGCATTGGTAGCTCCGCCCCTTGACAGACGCCCCGCCCTTGGTCACCATCTTGTGGCTAGAAGTTCCGCCCCCTCACCCATGACCTATGCCACCAGAAGTCCCTCCCCCTTGCCCTAGAAGTACCTCTTTCAGGAAGAGTTTTGCCATCTCGAAACAGAAAAATACCAAATACCAAAAATTATAGGTATTTAGAATGTATTTTATTCAAGTGATTGAGGCACTGTTAGACTTCCAAACTTCTTTAAAATTGAAAATATATCAACAACATTTTGTGTTCAATTGATACCTATATACACACACACACACACACACACACACATATATATTATATATAGTGACATTTCATGGATTTGGGTTTTTTTGTGAGAGAATTTTCAATTTTTATCAGACAATTTGTGATTTTTGAACAGAGATAACCAGGGCTCCTGGATACAATTAATTACTTGTATTTCCCTAACAAGGGAGCAAGAGCCCATGAGAACTGAAACAGAAACCAGAGGATTCTGGGGCTATAGCTTGTGGTTTGGCCCTATGACCTTTAGCAGTTTTAGGAAGGTAATGATAAAAATAGGCCACTTGTTCCACTGGTAAATAGCACCACTGCTGACACTGATGCAACTTTAGAGCTTTCCCCACAAGAGGAGCTCACTGGAGCAGTGCTCAAGCACCGGGGTTTGGTGCTTGGGGCAAAGCCCACAGAGGCAGCCTGCCCTTGCCCTGTGCAGAGGTCTGGAGAGGCACACGCCCCCCATACTTATTGGGAGTGTACGCAGCAGCGGGAGCCGCGCTTCCCCTGTTCCCGTGCCCCTCAAATGAGCCACTCATACTTCGTCCCATGTCCTAAGCTGGCTGGGCAGCACCTGTTGGCACTCCCTTTACTTCAGCGCTGGGGGTGGTCACCCCGATCGCCCCAGCCGCCCTTGCCATGGCTCTGCTCTGCAGTGCACTAAACACTCCCTGCACTGCTGCAAAGGGGATGTCCAGAGGCTTGTGATCCTCTCTGTAGAAAGACTTAAAGAGTTAAACCCTCTGTATAACCAGAGAGGCTCAGCAGGTGTCTGGCTCCATTGCAGGGTGTGCAGGAGACCAGGTATGTGCTGCCTCTCCAGAGCCTGGGGCCAGGTTTTGGAAGCAGCTGGGGCAGAGAGGCAGCAGATGTTTGCAGCTGACCCAGGTTCTGGGTAGGTGCTGAAATTCACGGAGCCCGGGCTGCTTGCAGCAGGGCTTCTGTGGGATCAGCCCAGGCTCCGTGGCTATAAGCAGCTACCTGGACTGGGGCCGGCTGCAGCCAGGTGGCTACAAACAGCTGCTGATCTCCTACCCTGGCCCCAGCTGTATCCCAGCCCTAGTCTCCGGGAAAGCAGCAGGTGCTGGCACTGCACCCCTGGGGGCTGGGGCTGGGGCGGGGAGGCAGCAGCTGTTTGCAGCCTCCCAGCTGCAGCCAGCCCCAGGTCTGGGTAGCTGCTGGAGCCCAGGCTGCTCCCAGTAGCACTTGCAGCATGCCAACTGCCTGCTGGGAGCAGCCCGGGCTCCCAGCTGGCAGCAGCTACCCAGAGCTCGGGCCGGCCCCAACCAGAAGGCTGCAAACAGCTGCACTGGACTCCACAGCTCCAGCATCAGCTCCACGCTGGTGGTGACTGCGCACGCACCTTGGGGCAGACAGCAGGGCAGCGCAGCTCACTCCAAGGTGCGTGCACTGTCGCTGCCAGTATGGAGCTGATGCCAGAGCTATGGAGCCCGGCAGAGCTGTTTGCAGCCTCCCGGCTGCAGCCAGCCCTGGCTCTCTGTAGCTACTGCCAGTCATGGAGCCCGGCTGCTTGCAGCAGGGCTTGCCACCTCCCATCCGCCTCCTGGGAGCAGCCTGGGCTCTATCACTGGCAGCAGCTACCCAGAGCCGGGGTTGGCTGTGGCATGCCGAGCAAAATGGCCTTGCATGCCATGCTAAGCACGCATGCCAGGGGTTGCCGACCCCTTCCCTAAATTCTGCTGAAGTGAGTAACAGGGACATTATAGGGTCCCCTCACAAATTGCCTTTTTGCCCACATCAAGATCTACAAATTTCAGTTGACTCTTCCTGATTCCTCTTATCTCTTACAGTGCTGGGCTCTGGCATGTCTGCTCCAGCAGCCTCCCTGAAGCAATCCAGAAGGCCACTATTGCGCATCCTCATAATCTTTCCTGATATCCTCCTGCTACTGCCTCTGTAGGGCTTTTCATACCGTCTGTTGTTGATTCTTTCAAGAAGGGGCCATGTCATTACATGTATTTGTGCAATGCCCAATGCAGTCTGGCCCCTCTCAGGATCAGGACCCCTGTGCACAAGAAAGCCAGGAGCACTGAATATTGGTGCCATCGGTAGGGAGGAGCATTCTGATCAAGCGAGAAGCATTCATAGCACAGCAAACTTCAGTACTGAAAGCAGGACAGTAGTGTTAGTACTGTGCTACAACTGGGGTATTTCTTCTACTAAGAAACTGGGTACAGTGGCTTATGCAGACAAACCCCAGAGTTTCTCGCAGAGGTGGAGAATTTGTAATTCAGAACATATTCAGTGTGAAAGATAAGCAGAATGAGGGGACCGCAGTTCTTATAATCACATGCCCCCCATATCTGCCTGTATCCCACTGCACCAAGTCGGAAGTGAGATGTTTAACAACCTGCACGGACTCATGGGCACAGGAAGCAGAAGGAATAAGAGCACGCCCAGACCAGCAGCAGCCAGTGAGCAGGGGCAGATTTGCATGAAGGGGCTGTTCTCAGCTCTGGGCATTTAAGAGAGACTTGGATGATCCCAGTTACAGCCTGTTCACTTCAGGAAGCCGAGCTGGCCTGGATTCCCACCATGGCCTGTGCCCTTCTCCTTCTTGTTCTGCTCGCATACAGCTCAGGTGAGCAGGGAGGGTTCATGATGTCTTGGAGGATGTTACTTTTTTAGCAAGTGCAATAAATGAATGGTAAATAATGGGTCTGTACTGCTAATTCCAGGGGTCCGGTCGCAGCCTGTGGTGACTCAGGAGCCTTCAGTGTCTTCGGTGTCCCCAGGAGGGACTGTCACTCTGTCCTGCAGCCTGAGCACCGGAGCCATCACCACTGGCAACTATCCCTCCTGGTACCAGCAGAAACCTGGCTCTGCCCCTCAGCTGCTTACTTATGAAAGTAATAAGAGACCCTCTGGGGTCCCCACCCGGTTCTCCGGGTCCATCTCTGGTCAGAAGGCCGCCTTAACCATCACCGGGGCCCAAGCTGAGGACGAGGCCGACTACTACTGTGCTGTGTATACTGGCAGCAGCAGTGCGTTACGACACTGTGTTTCATTTTGATGAGGAACTGAGACACAAACCTCCCTCTTCTCTTGTCTCTTCATGGGCTGTTCAGGCTTTGCCTGCTCGGGCCGCAGACTTTGGCCTTGGCCAGGAACAGGTCTAACTGCTTTGGTTTGTTTCTTTCAGAAGCCCAGCCCTTGTGTCCAGCGGGGACGGCCCTTTCCTGCGCCCACCTGCCTGAAATCAGGAAGCTTCTTTTCCAGGTTCACCATTGCTGCAAACTTTCTTCAGGTCACCTTAGCCAACCCACTCTGTGTTTTTTTTCCCCCTTGATGGCATAGTTTCATGGTCTCCATGCTACCAAACCCTAATATCGAAGTATTGCACACTGAGACCCAATATGAGGTGAAGCCTATGGTGTATTAGTTATACTCCCTTACACCTACATGGCAACATGGAGACATACAACGAGATAAGTGTTACATGTGTGAGTGCCCTGGATCCATCTCACATTTGTCCAAGGCAGCATCATGGCATCAATGTATTCACTGTCTACTGGCCAGTCAGCTTCATGTCTTGGCCTCTTCCCTTCCCCACCCAGCCGAATGGGAAATGGCTCTAGCTGCTGCTTCATTGTCAAGTTCCTAAATCAAATCCTGGAGCACTTGTACATGTGACAGGGCTTTAATCCCCATGGTTTCATTTTATGCTCCCTAGTTTTTAATTTAAACCCACTGTTTCAATTTTCCCATTATGTTATAGTGAGGAGCATTATCCTTTTTTTTTTTTTTTTTGGCCAGAGCTTTAGTCTGCCCGTGGCAGTGGGGTGAGCTGTCGGCAGACCAAGCATCCCCTGAGCTGCAGAGAGTCCCCTTCCTTCCCTCTGCAGTGTCAGCACCCCCATGGGGGTGCCCAGATGGGCTGCTAGCAGGCGGGGGGGGCGTCTGGCTTGGAGGCAGCACCCAGCCCGATCCAACTGTTCCCTGAGCCTGCCTGCTGGAACGGTTAGTTTGCAACAATGCAAAGTCATTTAAACCCCCCCAAACTGGTGCACCTGTAATGTGTGATGCCACTGAGCCAGAGAAATGACATTTTTATGATGTGTAAATTGGGACAAGCATCATGTCTACAAGCGCCCAGGCTACAAGTGTACTCAGTCCTGTGGAAATAATGACTGACATAGACTTCCAGACTTCTTCTGTTCAGTGAAGAAGCAGCCCTGGATTTGCACCCCACAGGCTGGATGATAGTTACCAAGGGCGTTATCAGATAAGAGTCTTTATCAGAGTAACTGTATTGGTTGGGAATGGGATTAGGATGTCACAGCTGTGCTGGTCAGCACTTGCAGTTGAAGCACTCCAGAGGAGTTATCTCCCAGTGCGATTCATCTCGGGTAATCCCAGCTCTTCTCTATGGCTGCGAATCTTAGGTGCAATACAGGGATTGTCTGTCACAGGCCGGCTAGGCACTGTGAGTGTATCAGTTATTAGGCTGCTGGTTTTGGGATCAAGGAGGCGAGTCAGGAGTGAAGTAAAGGCAAATTTACTTATAGCTTAGCATACAACAGTTAACAGAAAGGTTAATGCGACAAAAAGATAGTACAGTAATAAAGAGGTAATAGTGAATGATAACAGCAGATAGACAGAATGACAAAGAGTTCCCACATGGGGTTAGCAACTTATCCACAGTCCCTCTATGTCAGGTGCGCACCAAGTTGTTCCAGCGAAGTCAGGTGTCCCCAGTCAACACGGTCCGAGGGGTCACCAGGAAGGTCCCTTGATCAGGATCCGGTCCTCACTCACACTGGGAGTCCGGGGTCTAGGCCTGGTACAGCAACGGTCCTTCTGTCCCGTCCTTCTAACTGGTCACTTGACATACACGTTCCTTTATGCCTTGTCTTGTGCTAATCTGTTGGCTTTAGAGCCACTCACAATCTTGCCCTATAGCTGTTACCCTATGGGATCAAAAGGTGTTAGAAATTATCATGAAATGTTACCACCCTATCTTGGGTTCACCTATATACATGCAGAGAGGCTGCTTCAACATGCTGGTAATTCCTGCTTTCCAGCACACTCCACCATCACATATATCAGTGTCCCTGTGCTGAAAAACGGTGGTGGGGCCTCTTTAAGTGAAACCTGGTTCGACGAGCTTTAGTCCAAAGCACTCTGCCATCATTTTTTAGCATGGGGACACTGATAAACATGACGCTCCAGGTGCTTTTCATCAGTGCAGCTCTTGGAGCTGCATGAATTAAAGTGCCTCCCTGCCTCTCAGAGCACATCTGTTAATGCCCGTTGATTATTCAAAATCAGCTGCTGTGGACAGGGCATTGTGTGTGCGTGGCTGATGTACGTTTGCCAGAACAACTGCTATACTCTCAACAGCCAAGGATAAAGGACATGCAGGGGCCAGAGGAAATGCTTGAAGGACAAGCAACAGGACAGAGCTGCATGGCAATGTGTTGTGAGAGGAGGAACATCTTACTTTGAGGAAAAGTGTCTCACCCTGGAGGCAGAAAAGCAACAGGAACACAAGGAAAGGAAACAAGACCGAGAAATCTTCAGTTCGACCCTATCCACCAGCTGTGGTGTCTGCCAGAGAGGCTGTGCCTCTAGGATTGGCCTTCCAAGCCATCAGTGGACTCATCTACAACCCCTTACTTGGCCCCTGCGAATGATCGTCCTTGACAGTGAGGGATCGTCGCTGCTGCTGCAGATCTGTGTAATAATAGTGTGGTGCGTTTCTGCTACCTTTGGAAAGTGGAGGTAAAACCCTGACTTGGGTCACAACGGAATCACTGTGGTGCTTCCACCCCGGCCTCCAGATGAACACAGCACAACCCCAGGGCAGGATTCGCACTCAGCTGACACACCGACCTAAGAGGGAGAGCAGAGATGCTTTAGATCTGGCAGCAAATGGGAATCAGTCTGAAGTAGAGTAGGAAAAACTTGTACCAACCCCGCTATATGATCTGCCTGAATCCTGCCAGTTATCAGCTGTGAAAGAGGGAGCTCAGTTTTAGAAATGCTGAAAGTAGGACAGGCCCTTTACGAACGGTGCGGTGCTGGCCAAGGGGATGTGTCCGGTGGAGCTGCTGTGAGTCCCGGCGACAATGTTGTGACCCCAAACACTCCTCAAAGAGCAATTCCCAAAGCTCCTGGACTGGAACCAAAAGTATTGTGCTCAGGGCAGGATTCAGCCTCTTTGCATTCACAGCACTGGGAACGGTCTCTCCGGCCCTGCCCTCTATGAGTAAAATGGGGAAGACAGCAGGGAAGAGATGGCAGAGGCTGAACGAGCAGCAGATTTGCATGAAGTGGGCGTTCTCAGCTCTGAGGGTTTGAGAGAGACATGGAGGCTTCCAGCCAGGGACCCGTTTTCCTCATAAAGCCGAGCGAATCTGGATTCCCACCATGGCCTGGGTCACTTTCCTCCTCGCTCTGCTCATGTGCTCGGTTGGTAAGGGAGGGGTCTTTACCCGTACAACAAGGTGAACAGCGACTGTTGAAAGCCTGCAGCGCTGTTCTCCCACCCATTGCTTGGAAGAAAACACAGCCCAGGCTCAGTAGCATCCCTGAGTGTTAATTCCTGTAGTGAGCCAAGAGCTGTTTAGGATCTAGCGCTTGTACACGTGACGGGGTCTCGTTCTTAGGGTTGGATTCTATCCTCCCTAAATTGAAACAGTGGGTTTTTAATTGAAACCCTCCATTTCAATGTAGGGGTTTCTGTCACTGTTATGCGAAGGGGCCAGGTCCTTCTTTTTTTCAGTGGAGTCTGCCTGGAGCTGGGCGTGACTGCCAGTGGGCTGAGTGGCTCCTGAGCTGTGGGGGGCCCTGGCAACAGCAATACCCAAGAATAGAAACAAAAGTTCCTGGATACAGGTGAGAAGTGTAATACATTTCTCTTAGATCCTGGCTGAACGGAGAATATATCCAGGATTTGAGTGAGGTGATGAGCATACAGTTCATGGTGAGTCTGGGCTGCAGGGAGAGCTGTGATCTTGAGCAAAGGTGACAGATCATCTGCATGGTGCAAACAAGCTGTTCACCACACAATTTTAACTGTGCATGGTTGTAACCGAGATTTTCTTAGCAGCTTCCACATGCAGATAAAACAGACATGCAAACTGAGACAGACGTATCCCAAATGTGTGTAGATTATTTTATAGATCAATAGATCGTTCTGCATGGTAGCTGCTAGAATTTCATGCTGGTTCCCCAGGGGTGCCTGCCTAAGGGTCTGTTTTGCAGCAGCGAGAAAAGGGCTTTCTCTTTATCCAAATCTCTGAATAAAGGAAATCTTTTGGCCCCTTCCATGTCAGACCCATCTGTGCCAAAGTTTGGGCAGACTGAGCTAGTGTGGCTGAGGGAACAAAGTTTTGAAAGCCTTCGTTTCTCCCTGCATGAGGGAAATAGGTCTTTTCCCTTGCAGGAGTAGCTGGACCTGAGGAAAGCTGAGCAGAATTAGAGATCCTGTCTGGGGATGAAGAGGCCCAGGCTTCCCTGCAGAACTGGCAGCAAGTGCGCTGGTCAGCTCCCAGTTTGTCCAGGACGGTCTCTGGGGTGGGCAGAGCGGGGCTGGCTGCGGACAGGCGGAGTGGGGTTGTGGATCTGTGCGGGCGGGGGCAGGAGGCCTGAGAGGGCCCAACATAACAGCTCGTTCCCAACCTCCCAGTACAACCAGCTGGGCCCAATAACCTCTCCGCCACCTGCTCTGGCATCACACTTCCCTGAGCACCCCTGGACAGTGTCCCAACATCAGTTCACAGCGACTGCCCTCAACAGTTGTCATGGCGCCTTCCTCCCTCCATCTGGGACGCCACGCTCCCTAAAGATAAAGGGTTAGCACGGGGGGTGGCTAACCCACACCCACAAATGGGAGCCTGGACTGGGGGCAGTGGAGAAATGTAACAGATTTCCCCTCAAACACCGGGGACAAGCGAGAATGCAGTGGGACGTGGGTCCGACCCTGCGCTCTGCCAGCTTCTGGGCGGCAGTGCTCTCCTGGGGTAAGTGGTGGAGGAACTGCACACCTGAATTGGGGAGTATAGAAAT